AAAGTTATCGATACCTCAGTGCACAACAAGGTTACGAAAGGATCGCATATTTTCTGCTTCTGAAGTCCTCTGAACGTCCCGAGCTTCCAGCCTCGTGCACAACGCCCTTTTGTGATTGGGCATGTGTACATCACGACATGCGATATTGTCTACTTCTCTAACCAGAAAGTGTCGTAAAGCAGCAAAAACTCACTGATTGGTTCTTGAAGCACTGAAAATTTTACAGCTATAACTTAATTTGTGACAAAAAGAAAAAGAACAGAAACCTCGAAGTAATAAAAATAAAGCTTATATAAGCTTAATGAACAACTTTGAAAAATAAAGTAACAGGTAGTAGCATCCAATTATATTTATAATAAAAATAACCTAACGGCTGGTAACATCCAATTATATTTATAATAAAAAATAACCTAACGGGTAGTAACATCCAATTATATTTATAATAAAAATAACCTAACGGGTGGTAACATCCAATTATATTTATAATAAAAATAATCTAACGGGTGGTAACATCCCATTTTACTTATAAGTTAGGATCAACTCAAACCATTCCTCAACAAATCTTAAAAAATCGTTATCAACTTTCCAACCTCATCTACGTTTAATAGCTTTATGTAGTGTCCTTGTAGTTTTTTTAGGTCACAGAACACAGTTTGGATAATGAAAATTAAAACCACTTCTAATAGACCGAAAATATTAACCAAAAGTTTAATTCTCCTTAAAACATGACGTTGTGCAGAACGTGCTTGATATGTCTTTATAACAATATTAAACGTTTATAAGAATACTATTTTTACAATCCCAGCAAGTATTTAAATATTTTATCTTTTTTTTTATTTTTTACACACTAACGATACGTAAACTCGAAATTAGGCGTTAACTTCCTTTTATATATTTGAATTTTATAACTACCTGGGTGGACTACGAATCATAAAGTTTCGAACTATTTACTATCGAGTTGTTTATAACATAGGAGATGTGATGTAAAAATTCATTAGCACAAATTTTAAGCTGTCCGGCTATTGGATATTTCAACTGCTAACAATGTTTATACACCCCAAAACTTTAATTAAAACTACAGCAGAATAATTATCCTTCTTACTTACCAGATTTATCGTTACACCCTAACCAATGTCTTTTGGCAATCGTCATTGTTATATAACGTTCACAGAATATAAGATTAAATGATTCAACCCTACAAACCGATGTACATTCTACAGGTGAAATAATCTCTTATCATAAATATGATGTACACCTGATGCTAAGCTTAGCAGGAAGTTCACATCTCTTCTTTCTTCAACAACCAGGAACCAAGCTTCCTTAGTATCCAGGAAAATCCGGTTTATAGAAGCACGTCATCCAATCAGCATCCACTTTAAGCACCGAGACAGGTACTTTAGTCTCACGTGGTTCCATAAGGATGGGCGCGCTCCAACAAAGTCTGTGGTATATTTCGTATTGGCTTTTGCGTCATTGCAACATGTTCCACGTATGAGTATTGTTACGTGTACATCAGAAATACAAGAAAGTCTCTAAGGTGTGGGGAAAACGAACTTATACGTGTGGGAAACCATGGTACCAATTATGGAAAAAATAACTTACAATAGCTTGGAAAATAAAACATTGCGGAACCTAAGAGTAAGGCAACGTTCTAGTGACGTCTTCGCCTTTTCCTGTATGATAACGATCATAAACTGCACTAAATATAAAAGTGGGGTTTCCACACCGGGCTAAACACACCTATATGAAGAAACCGAATGGAATGATAATATTAGAAATATGAATAATCGTGTCGTCATATAAGCCTCATGATCATATACATATTTCTACATATAAAATATAAATATACAAACCTATGTGTATGTGTTTTTTACGTGTTTATACAATATCCACAGAAATACATTTATAATTTACACGATGTACATAAATACACACACACTCAGTACTTTCCTCTGCAGCGATGTGACATGACGCATGGAAACAAGGAATGTCAAGTCATGTTAGGAAATGAGTTTGATTTTTAAACAGTTTGGTGGGTTTAGGACGCTGCTTCCTTTTACTATCCACATTGTAAAGCATAACCGCTTACAAAGAACTTTAACATGGGCTATGCAGCAGGCCAAAAACCGTGAAGGTGAAATAGGCTTAAAACAGCAGTTTAATAGTATTTATATCAAAACTATTAAGGCTATCTGTCGCCATCTCGAATTTTGATATGCTGACCAGAGGGAAGGTAGCCATTCAGCAACACCCTACAACCACCATCCACGCTAAGAGACCGACTGTCACTCTTATAGCGCACCCACACCTTAAAGTGCAGGATATATTTTTGGGTATGGTATAGCTTCAAACCCGGCTGGCCAGTTTTTTAATCCAGAGTTCTACCACAGGGTCAAGCTGCGCCCTAGTTCGATTAATAATAACGGGTACAGATTGAGTTTAAAAACACGCAAATAGAAAAAATTCTTTCAAAATCAAACTTGAAAGTACATTAAATAATGTATTTAAATTCACACAATAGATGTATATTGATTTTGTTTACACTCCCCTGTTTATGCAAAATCACGTTTTGTTGGATCAGCTTGGACTTGCTAGAATTATGGCCAAGCATAATTTGATCATTCTTCCCAACCTCAATATATATTGTTTTTACTTTTTTAGTAAACGCTGGTAAAAATACGTTTCATAAAGAGAGGTTATTTTGAACCAACAAATGGGAACGACTAGTTTTACGAAAACAATAAGATAGCATTTATTAGAGTACATAGATTTCTCGCCTCCTTTTCTGTCGGAAGCCAACCAAACAAATGAACGGCAAGCCGAAGCCCTCTATGGACATTTCCCTCCAGTAAGACGTGATGGAGCGGAAATACATGCCATATCGAGTAACAACAACAGTCCAGGTAGAAACTGCCTACAAGCGCGCAGCACAACGTCACCTGTTTACTACTACTACCTAGAGATCTACAGGCAAGCCTTGGTACCGTCTCTCAGTCACACAGTATACAAGCTCTTTCCTTTGCTGGATCGCATCCCATCTGAGTCGGGGGGAGAGCAACAAGTGGCATGGCGACATTGTGACTATAATGTCAGTATCCAACGACAGCCACACTGATATTTAACTTTATGCACACGATACTGGTAGTCGGTCATTGTTCAAGAGTTTCACTATCTCTCCAATGTATAATATCAATGATTTCGAATAAATCGCGGCGTTGAAGCAAATATCCTTCATCGCTTTAATCTCTAAGTGATCTTGCAATTCGTCTGTGCTCATAAACATTGTATAGACTACATACCACTGTCTCGAAACTATGTGAAGACTACATACCACTGTCTCGAAACAATGTGAACACTACATACCACTGTCTTGAAACTATGTGAAGACTACATACCACTGTCTTGAAACTATGTCAAGCTTCGTAATACTGTCTCGTTACAATGTGAAAATTACGTATCTCTGTTTCGAAACTAAGCTATTTGTCCTTTCTACTTTCTCGTGAGATAAGAGGATCTTAAGATTACGCTTTCGTTCATATTTCCTCTAATGATATTTTTAGGCAGGAAGTAATGGGAGTGCTTAAATAGAATATTAAGCACATGTTTAGATATATTCCCACGAGAGACCAGGGTGTGGTAGTCTAGGTAGTTATTAAATTATGTTGAATTTTACATACCTTCACCAATCACAAGAGAAGTTCTTCTCGGTAAGAGTGAAACAGAGAAAATTACTATGTCGTCATTTCCTTTGTACTATCCTCAGCCTTAGTTGGTTTGTCACATCCTCCGTTACAGGAGAGAGGGACTACTACTTCCATTCTACGTGGTTTTGAGGCCAAGCAGCAAAAAGAAAATAAGAGCCTGTGGCAACCAGCGAAGTGTCCCGGACGAGGTGTCACGTGACTTGATACGGATGCTGGATTGCTCTTTCAACCTCCTGTTGCTAGGACTGCGAGCTACAGGGGCAACATGCTTGATAGCACGGACGCTCGAGACACCGATCGGATAGACTGACGCTGAGTTGAAACGAAGGAAGATGTAAAGAACGTCAGCGACCTTGTTAGTGGTTGATTTTTCACGAAAAAGAGCCCATTTTTCTTTCGCTGCGTGTCCAACCGTACCAGGTTGGGTTATCGCCGCCCTTCTCGCTTGGATGGCCTCACTTCAGGCAAATTAGACATGATAGTACGTCACACATCCCTGCTAGACACTGCCGAAGCTAAAATACTAGGTTTTCTAAGAAAAAAAAACAGAAACACGTAAGTATGAAACTACCAGCACGAGTTGGAGACAAAGTTAAACACCTATCGCAAGCTTGACAAACTCCTCGTGCGAAAGATATCATCTTATTGAGATGTTACCGAGAGTTTCTAACGCTCAAGAAACGAAGTTGGACACTGACATTATAAAACACGTGTATACTCTGTACATGGGGCATCCGCAAGGGAGCACCTGCCCCCCCCCCCGAATTATCAATTTTGCGTTTCACTAGTTATAGCTTTGATATCATTTTGCCATCTCTCCCTCCCCATGTAATATATCTTATGGACGCCAATGACTATGAATAATAAATCAAGATATTTACCCACAACAAGTAACACCCATATAGCACTATTGGTTTCACTCGTAACGTGAGATACGATACACTAATAGACGTATAAACAATTTGAAAACAAATACTGAGAACGAGAAAACTTAAGAATGCTGCTCAATATGCTTATCTATTTATCCAAAACATTACAGTAAAGTTCAGGATACATTTTAGGTGCAAATATGTAATGATAAATCTAATGAGACAGCCAGAGCCGTTCAAGGTCCATGTCTATACAGAGGTAAACACGTTGTTATCAATCTCTCAACCAAGTGAAACGTTGAGCCTCGTCACGTGATAAGTAGAGTGAGACCTTGGTTAAAAAGTTTCAAAGTAGTAAAACTAACAATCTAACGAACAAATCAGTTTGAAACTCTAGTTAGTTAAAATTTTTCTGAGTTTAACTTACTTGTAACATTTAAAGGGTGTCTTTGCCGTGTGTCGCTCGCTAGCTTGCTTCTTCTAGCGTGGGCCCCTTGCTGCTTACTAAGTTTCACGGAAACAGCGCACACCTTACAGGATGCCCGTCATCCCTCACGGGCCTGTCCATTCCGCAACCACCTGTAGGGAGGATTGAAGAGGAAGTTCTGGGAAGGAGGGGCGAGTGTGCCAGAGTGGGTTATGGTAGAAAAAACAAATGTTCTCTCAAAAGACATTTCACTGCATAGAAAATGTCATGAGCAGCAATTATACGTAGTAATTCAATGTCATGATCCTTTTTACTTTATTTTATGTGTCTTAAACTCCAGCAAAGGTTCTTCTGGATGATACATCAAAAGTGAGTGAAAATACTAAATTGACGTTTACTTCAAAACTTACTTTCTTGATTATGATTTTATTTCCCTAAAGTTATTAGTTTACAAATCTTGCAGTTCTAAAACTATTTAGTTGTGATAAAAAAATGTATTTTTAATGTGACGTCTGAGAATCAGAATACTTGTTTTTAGGGCATTTCAAGGAAAACAAGTGCAAATTGTGTTTAAGAAACGCCTATATCCCCACTTTGACCAATGACCTTCAAAAGCTTATCATGTCTAGATCTTTGTATGTAGTACCTGTTACATAAGTCTGATCCAAATCCATCTATCCAATCTTGAAATATCCTGCTCACAAGATCAGGACTGACGGATGGACAGAGGTAAACCAATAATCTCAGCCCTTACTCGCAGTGGGGGCGTACAAAATTGTTGTATTTTGCTTATCTAACTATTAGTCTGTGCTTTACTTACTATTATTAGCATCATTATAACAGTAAATTTGCTTGTTGTTTGTTTGTAATTAAGCACAAAGCTACACAATGGGCTATTTGTGCTTTGCCCACCACGGGTATCGAAACCCGGATTCTAACGTTGTAAGTCCGCAGACATACCGCCGTGCCACTGGGGGGCTTACTTGTTGTAAAGCGCAAAAGTGAACAATGGTTTATCCCTGTTATGTTTATCGCAGGGAGTGAACCTCGAAATTTAGTGTTATAATTTCTCACGCTTATCGCTGAGCCATTGAGAGTCAGTTTTATAACAGACAAATTGTTTTAAGTCGCAAGCCCTTCAACTATAAAGACTTGGGACTGTTTGGATGGGTAGTGAAACTATATTAAAAAAGGAAACTGACATATCTTCTTTTTGAAAAAATTGTTGAAATACGAATGTAGTTTCATATTAATAACAAAGGATACTTATTTCTTACGCCGATTATATATACAAACATTAAACATTATTGAGAAGAACTGATAAAAAAATTATTAAATCCTACAACCTCTCCATACGTATATGCAGCGAAAACAACAATTATCCTATCTCAATAAACAATTTCAACATCCTTACCATAGGCTCTTCCAAAAACGAACTTTTAATCAGAGATGTTTAACCAACTTCAAATGAACATCCAATTCTAAACAGTAACTTAAACTCCTTCCAGTTATGTTCCACCCAATTCTAAGTGTGAATAGTTATACAGCTAATTGTACTAAATAATAAATCTTAGTTTCCATTTAGTTGTTGTCAGTTACTATTTCTGTATTTTATACCATCCATCGAATATTTATCCACTTCAGATCGCTGATGATGTAATGTGTAAATTCCGAAACGTCCGATTAAAGAAATGCTTGTTGTTGTTATAGCCGTGACATTTTTATATTAGTCTTTCTTTACACTTTTCCTTTTATATATACATATGTGTAAAACAATTAAATATTCTGTGAAAATAAGAGTAAATATATTTCCAATGAAAACAAGAGATTAGGAAATGTAAACTCAGAACTTTCTGGTTATGAAATATAACCGGAAATCAGAATCAGCCTAACAAAAGAACGGTTGAGCCTACGCAGCGAAGGATGAAGACACAAACGGTTAGAGGCAGTGATGCAGAAAGAACGACTGTGTAAGATGCAAGAAGCACATGGAAGGCAGTAAAAGACACCACACCCAGAGGGCAGCCAACACATCACCTCGGTATACGCGTCACCTAGGAGACGGGTTGAGTCATTCTCCCGCATCTCGCGCTTCGCTCACCTGCACGTGACGTTCCACGCAGCTTCACAGATCCTTGGCGAACAAAGACCCAGCTTGCTCAGTACGTAGGTGTTTGTAAGAACCAACCTGTTACTGGTCATGACGTCAACGTTTTCTGCTATTTAATTTTATGCCGATTCATTTATTTATTCATTAGACGCCAATATAAAAACATAAAAGTTCTATAATGATGTGCCACTAACCTATAGTTACTTGTAAGAATAAGATTGTTTTACAGAAATGAGAAAAATAATAATTTGCGCACGTGAATATGCATAATTTCTGTCAACTTTTCAATAAATCTTGTTTGAGTTCAACGAATAACGTCTACCTTAAAAATGTAAAGTGCACGTGCTCGCAAAATACAAATAACCAAACAAACACATTTCAGTGAGTTTCATGATGTAATCACTTAAATAAAAAAAACACTATAGTACAACATTAATTTTTCATTGTCAATAATTAAACACAAAGGTCAACGTCCTAAAGAGCGGTGTTCAAACAGCGAAACTCTTGTTTCTTTATTGTTTGTAGTCGAAACTCTCACCTCATGAATACTTTATTAACTATCACATACGATTTGAACCTTCCTCTAGTACTGACCGATACATCATTAGTCAAGGAATCTTTACAGTAGGTAAGTGAATGACAATTATTATGAGAGATTGTGAAGTTTTTATATTAATGGAATAATACACATACACATTAATAGAATATTAAATGTGAATACATAATGTACCCACGATGGTAATGAAATGGTTAAAAGAATAAATACAATCTCTAACGCTTATTTTAACTTATGCTGTTCTTTACCAAGCCTTAATTCAAGACTATTTAAGTCTTGTCGACAAAACTCGTGTCTTCGATGTATTTTGTTTTAGAATCGAGTTATCTTCCAGAATAGGGCAATACCTAGTTCTTACCTATGTTGCTTTGCTCTATCTTGAGATATCTGGACGTTAGCCTCTGGCCAAGTAACCATCACACACAACCTACGAACCCTTCTGCACGAGGGTAACGAACCGTGGTCTCCCCCTCTGAGTTCAGAATCCCTATTGGTCAATACATCTTATTTCTTACAATGGAATGTTCCTATGGTTATCAGAGGCTTTCAGGCATGGACATGTGATAAATATAGAAGTCGTTTCTACTCCCCCCCCCCTCACCTACCTAATAGGATTCCCTATATCTAAACCTATTTTGTAGTCCGACCCTTACTTTAACAACATGTGGATCAAACAAGTATCCTTAAACTTCCTACATCTAAGTTAAAATACATTATTTATATTATGGAATTAAGGCCATAATCTCCGTCCCCCTTTTCACACTTCTCTTTCAAGACTAAACCTCTCATTTCTTTATTTTTTTTTTGATCATTTGAAAGTAACCGCTAGAAAATATGTTAGGCTACGCCATGTATAACTAAAACCACTGGCGTAGATCATATTAGTGATTCCCCAGTCACTGAAATAGTTCATCTCTCTGTTAAGACGGGAACGTGTTATATAAACTTATACACTGACAGATTCAAATAAAATCATAAAATTAAACTCAGAGAACTTTTATAGCCTGGTGATCATGTTCACGTTCTAAATGTGCTGTTCCATTTGTGTTTCACATACGCATATTTCGCGGAAACCCTCGGTCATTTTGTTGAGTTTCATCATTAATTATCACGTAAAGAATTAAATATATAATAAAATGCGAAGGATAAGGACTTCAAAGTAAAATCTTATACCAAGGACATTAAAAAGTCTGTGAAGTATGCGACCTTTACTTTTTTCATACGCGTTGTGAGCTATACCATATTATGGGATCCAATCGAGATTAATCACCTATCTGTGAGAGTGAGAAATAATGAGATGATAAATATTTCAAGGTCTGACAAAAAGTGCTAGAAAGTCACAGTTATTTAGAGAAGTAAAATCTCACCACTGGTTTTACAGCTGATTTTTTTCTAATAGGGAGAGAAGTTTCTTTTGTTTTTGTGCTGTTTAAACTTAGAAAGACTAAAAACAGAGGCATCGGAACCAGGGGTGCTGTAGCACCACCACTTTTACATATCTGACTGATATAGCAAGTGTAAATTATATTATTATATTAATTTTCTGGGGGGGGGGCATTCCCCCAGACCTCCATAGATGGAGTTGCCTTTGGCAGCACGGGAGCTGCTTTTATCAGTTTCTTATACTTTCAATCTATCATTGTAAAATCTGCATGTCTACTTTGCAACCGTTTCTTACACCACTGAAATAAAATTCAGTTCTTAGAATTCAATCAAAAATAGTTATCTTAACTAGTATTTACTAGTACAATATGTGCACACAAATGAAATTTTAACAGAAGGTATATTTTAGTATCACGCTGATTATATAAAAGTTATTAATCTTAAATGAGGTTTTAGTTAATATTTTTCGGTAAATGGGCTATCTTTATTTCGATACTTCACCGGATAGTTAAAATAAATGTTTCTAATATTAGTCTTTGAGAAAGTTGCGCAAAGAATGAAAAATTATTTATTAGTAGATAGAATTTTAGTTTTTACAACAATGGTTTGTTATTGTATATCTAATTAATACATCGTACGAAAAGAAAAAAAAAACTGAGTCATAATACATAACATTCCCATGGGTGCAAACTATTTATTTATCTGTTTTTGATAAGTTCATGTCTTTGGTGTTATTAATAAGAAAACATACGTGACTGGCAGTTCGATTCAATTACACATTTAGTCATAGAATGATTGGTACGACCTATAATTCTGGTATTTCACAGGTAATTGTAACTATATATTCAGAAGCTCCTAAAATCAATCAGTTACCATTCCTGTACAGCTTTTTGGGCTTTTTGATATTTTCGACAAAAGAATAGAATTTCATTTTCAATATATATATATATAAATGAATAAAACCCTATGACCCGAAAGCTTTCGAAAGTTGGA